GAAGAGCAGATGTCAACTCAGGATTTGAGGTTGTTTTCTGACAATTCATGAGGCACCTATTTTCCAAGATGTTGAAGATGACGATGAACAGTTGTATGGTTTGAACTGAGAACCACTGCCAATTCCTCAACTGATAAAGCAGGATTTTCTTCAAGGGCTGCTTCAAGAAGCTTTTCATCAAACTCAACTGGACATCTGGTTCGATCTTCATCTTCAAGGGTGAAATCTCCACCTCTGAATTTTGCAAACCATCTTCTGCAAGTTCTTTCATTCACACATTCCTCTCCATAAACTGAGTGAATGTTTCTAGCCGCTTCGGCTGCTAAGTTTCCTTTCTTGAACTCATAAAGCATTATGTGCCTCAAATGATTCTTGGTTACTTCCATGTTAGCAGGGTTTTATTCAAACAAAATTTAATTTTATCGTTCTCTGAAATAAAATTTGATCAGTTTAAATGCATCTAAACATAAAAAATAATGTTCAGCTCCATTAGACATTATAAAATACTCTTTAAATTTCGTTTATTTTAACAAAGAGTTAAAATTCGGACAGAACTTATGGGATGACCTGATATATTAGTTTAAACTTCGTTGTCTCTTTTCGTTGAATCTGATCGCTTTTAGTGTCTGACTCAAGTGTATATCACAAGATCATTCATTATTTTTTACAAAACTGTATTTCTGGTGTTAAAATCTATTTTGAAACTTTCATAGTATTTTGACCCCAGCAGGGAACCTAACAAGTGCTACCCCCGGGGGTCAGGGTAGACCTGGGAACACCAGCAATTAGGATGTAGTTCCACGCTACTCAAAACCGCCTAACCAGATAACTTGGTGTTGAATGTAGTTTATCATCTTATCCAGGGTGCCTCATTTGGTGGTGGTGCTGGGGGGGGGGGGGGGTCTTACCCCTCTGCAGAGGTGCAGTCGACGAATTCTGAAGCCCAAGCCGACAAGGCCGACGTATCTGGTTTAAATACATTTGTATATGCCTTAAATGATCTTGCTTTGCCGCGGAGAAAAATTAAAATATCGTCTATATACACAGCTGCATACTTCCCATCCCATTCTAAAACAACAGACATTGATTCCCGGAAAATACTAAGCCCGTTTGCTAATCCAAAAGGCATGCAATTAAACGAAAAAGTCTCCTATGGGAACAAAAATCTGTCTTCTTATCTCGTCCATCTATCTTCACTTGCCAATAATCCTATTTCAAATCTAATTTAGAAAAATACTTAGCGCTACCTAAAGTTGTTACTATAACATCAACTAGCAGTATAACCCGGCTTCGACCGGCTGTTTCATTACTGGGGATTTTAGCCATTCAGTTAAAGCAGTTTAAGTTTAAAGACACTCCACCCGAAAATCAATATTATTAACAACATTTGGGTGCAATTCAGGTACATCTCCAAATGGAGGGTAAAAAATTTATATGTATGGTGGCCCTGAAATGGGCCGTTTTTGCGTTGTCTATCTTGCAAAAAAAGGAATCTCTTCCAGGGACCGTTGTAATGATATACGATAATTTTTATTTATAATATATTTTTTTATAATTCTAATAATTTTTTGCGTTAGATTTTCAACTCTCTAAATTTATTCTACGCCGTTTGTTACAGACATTAAATTTTTGCGCAAAGTATAAAAAATCAGTTTCTTCGATTTTTCACCTTAAGGGTTGTAATTGTTTTCCAACGAATTTGGACTCAAAACAGGCACTGAAGAATTATCTATCAAACAAAAAAAATCATCGAAATTGAATGAAAACTGTGGAAATGCATAAACAACATCCGATCCGATTTTTGAGAATTATATATATATTTTATATATATATATATATATATATATATATATATATATATATATAGATAGATAGATAGATAGATAGATAGATAGATAAGATATAATGGGAATGCAGTTCTCCGACTTATTTCATTTAAAGAAGCATACGACGACAATCTTGACATAAGATACGCAGATGCCACAGTACTGATAGGAGACACGGAAAAGATATTACAAAATCTCCTACAGAAGGTAGCGAAGGAGAGCGAGAAGAAAGGACTAAGCACAAACTACATGAAGACATAATATATGGTCATCAATAAAAGTAGGAGCCCAACATGCGATTTACAGGTCGGAGGCACAAAAATAAAGCAGGTACGGAAATTTAAATATCTGGGAGTGTTCTGACAGAGAATGGTAAGAGTGACGCTGAGATCCGAAGCACGTATTGCGATGGCCGAAGACGCATTCCAAAAACTAGGCAGAGTATTACGATACAGGAGGGTTTGTTTGGTAACAAAGAAAAGAGTACTAAGCTGCTACGTGAGATTTGTTCTCCTTTACGGCAGCGAATGTTGAATGGTCTCCTCAAAGATGAAGAAGAGACTCGAGGCAACGGAGGTATAGTTCTACAGAAGGATGTTGAGGGTGCCAGGGACGGAGCGTGTGAGCAACGATGAGGTCTTGGAAAGGATGCAAAGAAAGAGGAGGTTTATACTTAATATCAGGAAGAGGCAGCTTAAGTTTCTGGGAAGCGTAATGAGAAAGGAGGGCTTAGAGAAAGTGATACTCACAGGTCGAATAGAGGGAAAGAGAGACAAGGGAAAGCAACGAATGACGTACCTGGTGCGCTTAAGCAAGTGAATGTCAGAACGTGGTATGGGGAAGGTAGCAGAGAGACGAAACTTAATGACAGCTAGAAAGGATAGGGGGGGAGTGGAGAGCCATGATCGCCAACGTCCTGAAGGGACACGGCACATAAAGATCGAATAGAGAGACAAAGGGAAGCAACGCATGATATGCCTGGTGGGCTTAAGCAAGTGGATGACAGAACGTGGTCTGGGGTGGAGGTGGAAGAGGGACGAAACTTATTGAGATCCACAAGGGATAGGGATAAGTGGAGAGCCATGATCGTCTACGCCCTGAAGGGACACAGCACATAAAAAAGTCAACGCATAATCTTTTTCGGGGCTAAAACTATGGGAAAAGACCAAGGGCTTTGTTATTTTTCTATCACCTTAACATCCGACCTCTGATCAATGGCCTTATCTACTTAATCTCGGGGCTTTAAAGAGGTACGATACAGTTTTTTTTTTAATGGACGGTAGCTGCCAGTATCGATGCTCATTTTCCCCGTATAAGTCCTACAGAGATCTTTATCTGTAACCGCAAATGAATCCTTATTTTTTCTCGTAACTTTTGGATGGCTACCCTAAATACATTGGGTACTACGACATTACTGATAACTATATTATTACTTCCACTAGTACCACCAATGGGCACAGTATTCATATTAACAGCATGAGAAACCCTATCCACTACACATCCTTGTCGAATACTAACGGTCTGATTTGTATAATTAATAATAACTATTGGTATCTTTCTCTGTTTGTTAGTCCTTACAAACGCATTCATCACTGAAATACCTGTGAAATTACTTATATACCCCGAGTCTATATGTTTTGTGCAATGCTGTTTTTCTTTCTCTCAGTTATTCCTAATTCTAACTAAACATAAAGTGGCTGTCTGAGGCTTTAATGTGGTGTCGTAGATAATCCGCGCTATATTCGTTATAAGAAAAACCTTTTTTAAAGATATGTATGTATCTTTAATGTGTAAAGCTCCTAAATCGTGGCAAATACGTTCGCCATTTTCCTGCAGCCAATCAAGACCTAGAATAATATTTCTGTTTAAATTTCGAATGATATAGAATTTTTTTTGGCTGCTAGTTGATCGACTCGAAAATGTATAGTCGCATAGCCGATTGTCGCATAGTCGTATTGCCATTCCCTTTCTAAACAATATTTCTGTCTTTCTATCTTTTCTTTCTTTCTTTCTTTCTTTCTTTCTTTCTTTATTTATTTATTTATTTATTTATTTATTTATGTATTTCGTTTTTTGTTTCGTTCTTTCTTTCTTTCTTTCTTTCTTTCTTTCTTTCTTTCTTTCTTTCTTCAACTTCTTCCAGACCATTTTTCTTTCTTTCTTTTCATCTAGATCGCTTTTCTCGCATTTAATTTTACCTCTCTCCTTTCCTTCATTCATTGCCATTCGCTTTCCAAACGATATTTCTTATTTTCTTGCTTCCGGTTTTCTTTCTTTCTTTCTTTCTTTCTTTCTTTCTTTCTTTCTTTCTTTCTTTCTTTCTTTCTTTGTACTGTCTTCTCTCCTCACTTCTTAATTTAATTTTCTTTCTTTCTTCGTACTCTCTTATCTCCTCGCTTCCTCTTCATTTAATTTACATTCTTTCATCCACTTTCTTTCTTTCTTTCTTTCTTCAACTTCTTCTAGATCATTTTCTTTCTCTTTCATCTAGATCGCCTTTACTTTTTCCTCTCTTCTTTCCTTCATTCATTGCCATTCCCTTTCTAAGCGACATTTCTTTCTTTCTTTCTTTCTTTCTTTCTTTCTTTCTTTCTTTCTTTCTTTCAGGCACTCATTATTGTACTTACATATTCCCTCGTCCCTCCCTGCCTTCCATCCTTCCTTCCTTCATCCATCCGTTCGTTCATTTATTCATTCTTCTTCAGTTGCCCATAAAATGTTTTTTCTCACTGCATTATCAGTGATATCATGCTATTGGTATTATTGACCATCAGTTGCTCATTCAATTCTCCTTGTGTCCCCCATCCTTGTAGCCTTGTATCAGAAATACACATAATTATTTCTTGAAATATCTTGCAGCCTTTTCGTTGCATGCTGTCAATAATCATGTTCTTTACTTTCAACACAAGATTTCTTCAGTTTTTAGAAAGTGACATTCCGAAGAAATGTTTCAACTTCTTTTTATCTTTTCTTTGTTTTAGGAGTATTCTGTCTTATTATCTGCACGGGTCCTTTTTTGGGTGTTTTTCGATAAGGATTTTTTTCATGCTTTACTAGATTTCTGGAACATTCAACATCATTTTTATTTTGGTTTCAACTTAGTCCTTATTTTACCGTTTCATTGTTTCAATCATTTTAGTGATTCTACCATTTTGTTTTCATTTCTTTCGCAAAATGTATAGCTTTCTTTTTCAAAATCATTATCATATTTTCTTTCTTTCTTTCTTTCTTTCTTTGTACCCTTACTTATTTGATTCTTTCTTTTCCCTATCTTTCTTGAAATCGTTTTGTTTTTCTTTCTTTTTTGTGTGTTACCTTTTTATTCTTTCCTTCTTTCTTTTTACATTTCTGACTTTACTTATTTTTTCTTTCTTTGAAATATTGCCGATCTTACTGCAGTGTTTCTTTTTTCTTTCTTTGATTCATTTACATATCTGTCTTTAAAACATTTTTCCTTTTCCGCTTTTTGATTTGTGTTATTTCTTTCTTTTTTCTTTTTTAATTCAATCATTCTCTCTCTCTCTTTCTTTCTTTCTTTCTTTCTTTCTTCTGCATTTCTGGCTTTAATTATTTTTTCTTTCTTTGAAATATTGCCATTTTATTGCAGTATTTCTTTTTTTCTTTGTTTCTTTTACGTATCTGTTTTTAAAACATTTTATTTTCCCTTTTTTATTTGTGCTATTTCATTCTTTCTTTCTTTCTTTCTTGGTTTCTTTCTTTCTTTCCTTCGTAGCTTGAAGTCATCATTTATCATCATGTATAAGTCGATTTCCTGAAAACATCGACCTTTGATTTTTGCCAAAGAAAACGGTAATTCGTGATAGGCTCTGTCTATACATCAATTCCAATTTCCTTTTTCTTAGATTTTTTATTTTCATGCTAAACGAACAACACATTTGTCTAACAAAACACCATATTTCATGACTGATGAAACAAGTTTTATGATCTTCTTCCTCAAACTTATTTTTCATCATTTAAGTTTCTTTTTTACAATCATTCTCTATCACCTCAGTTATTTCGTTTTTTAGATATTCAGCAACCTTTGTGGGGTTTGTTCTTGCAAGAGCACGGATCTCTAACCCCTGCTATTCTAATATGTGCACTATGTGTTTCAGGCCAGGAAAGAGCAGATGCCTGAATGAAACTTAATGTCCATCAGAAATCATTGATCGAAGAATAAATCTGTTGTGACTCAATATGTACTAAGTTCACTCATACTGATACCAAATTAAGCTTTTTACTTGGTGCCAACTCAGAACGATAAAAGAAGTTCCGAATAGAATGTGACTTCAAGGCCAGACAGGTACAGAATCGAGCCTTGATGTATGACGCTCGGTGTACAAGTATAAATAGGAAATGAATACAGTAGAATTTATATTATGCACATACAAGATAAACGGAGAAGTTGAGGTTATATAAATTTCTCACCTATCAGGAGAGATAGATGAAACCTTCCCATGCTCGCAAGATGAAAATCGAACGTTGTAAGAATAAGATGAAATCACATATTCAAAATGGCGAAGTCTATGAGTAAACAATTACTTTATCATGTTCTGACTAGACGCTACTTACATGACTTTACATTTGTATCAGTTTTAAAAATAAAAACAATTTAATTTAAGACCGCATTTTCTTTTTTACAATAATGTTCACTTTGTACAAATCCTCGACAGATTATAAGGCATATTGTTGTGACTAAGTAATTGATTAAGAAATAACAAAACAAGAGGTTTAAGATAAATTTCGTATTGAACAGTAAATACAACAAAAGTGTATTGGGAGTATCAGTTGGCCAGCGTTTAATCTATACGACTGTTAATATTTCAGCCCCCCCTACGCGGGATGTATGTGGCACAAGACCGAGTTTACCATGGGTTCTCCGAGTTCGTAGGCTCGGCCAAAATAATCCCCTTAGAACCCGAATAAAAGGGTTCAGGGTCTGTCTACCTCCCCGGACGCAACTTTGCCCTTTAGCCGTCCGGGTTATCTGTGTCCAACTGTGTCGACAGTTGAACAATCTATACGACTGTTATATTTAACAGTCCCCCCCACAAGGAATGTATGTGGCACAAGGCCGAGTTTAACGTGGTTTTCTCTGAGCCCGTAGGCTCGGTCAAAAATATCCCCTTTGAACCCGCCTAAACGGGTTCAAGGACTGTCTCCCTCCCTGGACGAAATTTTGCCCCTCGGCAAAGCCTCATCCGAGTTCCTCTCTGCCGAGGCAGAGTTTCATAGTTGAACAATCTGTGCAACTGTTCCTCCGATGCTTACCTATCCTACTAACTTTATAGTAAGTGGAAGAGTCCACAATAGACTCATTAGAGGGAAGGCGCCACGACACTATATTATATTTTATGCGAATATGTTGGGGAGATAACGGTTAATTCTAGACTTGAACAGGTTAAGATTGTAGTGAGCTGGAAAACACACTCTTGCGGCTTAGTTCCACAGAGCAGCGTTTCGGGGTATTAAGCTGTTCGAGTGGAACTTACATCTCTCTAATGGAATACAAATGGAATGTGGGTGGTTCGCTACGGTCTACGTATCATGGTGGTTCTTATCCGTGAAGATTAAAATCGGTGAAACTAAGGAGTATACACCCTGTCTGATGTTAAGCAAATCACATAAATTTTAATAATTCAAATTTGGTTATGAAAAAAAGGTCAAATTTTTAGCAATCAATTTAGATGTCAAAACAAAGCCTGAGTTAAAATTCTAGATAATAACAATATGTTTTATTCTAAAAAAATCACCGTCTGAAGTTATTAGGCAAAACCAAATAATCATAATAATGCTTCAATAAAAATTTAATAAAATCATCAAAAATCGCTAATGTAGAACAAACACATATAAGTCTTTTTATTCTTTATTTTTTTTAATATAACCAACTTTCTTTTCAATAAGAGCCAATAATCTATCATCCATTGCTTTTTTGTTAATTTTTTTTACTTCTGGGGGTTCAATTTCCGAAATAGTAGATTTAATTGCTTTCCATAGTTCTGTTTTGATGGCATCTTCATATAATTTCATCTTCACAATTAACCATAGATTTATATCGGATTCATATCAGGACTTCATGCTGGCCATTCCATTATCTTCTCTCCAGTAAATCTCTTACGTTCAAATAATTCATGGGTAAGCTTAAATACATGAGAAGGAGCATTGTCGTTCATAAATACACACTTCACTTTGAAACTGCGATACTTAGACTTGTAGCATGCAAAGAAAGTCTAGTTCATAAAAGTTAACGCTGTTCAATTTAAATGTTTCAGCAACTGTGAATAATCCAATAATGGTTTGGTCGAACATTTCAGCTCATATCATAAAAATACCGCCTCTTTGTTGCCTTCTTTTATTCACAGGCGCGTCTGAATTGGATAAAATCCATTCTTAGGCCCATCCATCAGGTCCATCGAATGTCACCGCAGATTCGTCCTTGAAAATCACTTAAGAAATGTTAATTTTCATGTATTTTTTGGTCTAATTTTGACGCTGTAATATATTTGCTTTAGTGAGAGATGTTTGCCTAAGAGATTTTCTTACAGATCCCAATTCACAAAGTATTCTACACATTTTGTTGCTCTTTGCATTCCAACCGATTCAAAGATCTGAGCACCGATCAAAAGTGTTTGTTTCGCTATAACTCGCTTTAGTTTGCATTCATCTCGAGAAAGGAGTTCTTAAAAACCTTTTCCTTTGCTTTGAGTTATAAATACACACTTCACTTTAAAATTACTTGACTGGGACTTGTAGCATGGAAAGGAGGTCTTGTTCATCAAATCGCTATAATTAGCATTGTTGAGTTTGACAGATTCCTCAACTGTAAATGATCCAGTAATAGTTTTGTCAGCAATTCCTGCCAATATCATAATACTGTCACCTCATTGTTGCCTTCATTTAGTCACGGGCACGTCTGAATTGGAAGAAATTCATCCTTTAGCCAATCCATCGGGCCCATCAAATGTCACTTGAGATTCGCCCATGAAAATTACTTTAGAAAAATCAATTTTCATGTATTTCTTGGCCCAATTTTGATACTTTAAAATATTTGCTTTAGTGAGAGGAGGTTGACTAGGATTTTTCTTTAGAGATCCGAATTCGCAAAGTATTCTATACATTTTGTCCTACTTGACTCCCTCAATTTCTAGCCTTGTCAAAGATCTGAGAGCTGGTGAAAAGTAATTGCTTCGTTATAACTCGCTGTAGTTTACGTTCATTTCGAGGAAGGAAGTTCTCAGAGCCTTTTCCTTTGCTTCGAGTTCTCAACTTAGTAATATTTTCAACAGCCTTCTTTATAGTTCGATTATCTCTGCAAAGCTCCTTCACTATCTCCACTGTGAGCATTCCCTCACTCAATATTTTTGTTATTCTGTTTTTCAGCAGCTGCTAGATCATTCCTTTTACCCATGTTTCAACATATATTATGGACAAACAAGAACAAATAGATTTTATTAAATTTCTGAGGACTTAAGATGATATTAATTTAATTAGCATAACTTCAGTTAGTCCATTTGTGTAAATACCGAACATCTCAATAACTAGCTATTAGAAATGACAGAAAATTTAATTACTTATTTTACTAGGGGAGGGGAAGAAGGTGTTTAGACAAATATTGAATCATAGTTTTTTGATTTATTGAGGTTTATTTAAATTTGTATACTAATGTCAGACAGGCTGTAGTGCGTTTGATCACTTTCTTTGGTAATGGCGAGAGTATAGTGAAAAGATTGCGACGTTTTGTCTTTGAGAAAGGGCTTTTAAGGTGGAAAATAATTCATCATGAGAAAGGACGCTTGTGAACGCTATCGACAATGGGATGTGATGAATGGGCAACTTCTGTCCATATATGACAGCAGTAATGCACTTGAAGCCTGATCCGCCTTTTGCAAACGTAGACGATATCACGAGGTTTCAGGTACATAACTGTGAAAATTAATTAAAACAACCGCTTTAATTTCCTTCCTTTAACTCTACAGTCAGTTTTAGACCCACTGAAGTGACAGGGTGTAACCGATTTCTATTTGTTCTCATATTAGGTCATTTGGAGTGGTGTGCAGTAATATGAATCTATATTCGGGGTACATGATGAAATTTGTTTGGCCTTAAAAATAGTGCGTCATCCGTGATTGCATCAGATTTTTATACCGCCCAGACACTATTGTTTCAACTGTCGATTAGTTTTCCTACATCCATTGTCTGCGGTGGACGTTAATCCAAGGAAGTGTACAAAGATTTGTAACGTTGCACGAACACACTGGCAATTGTTACCAGTAAGCAAACCAAAGTACTGTAGTCTGGCCCGGAAACTCTCTTGATTTAAATCCAATCGAAAATGTGGTTAATCTGCAAGGGACAACTTCGTGGAATGGAAATACGAAGTACTAACATGAGCGCTGTGTCATATTTCATTGGAAAATACGAAAAAGAGTAAATAATAATGGAATTATTCGTTTTATTTCAATTAATTTGCAGATACTATTGTCGCGACTGTCAATTAGTTGTCCTACAGCCATTGTCTGCGATTGGTATTACCCCAAGGAAACGTACGAAAATTGTCACGGTGAACAAACACAATAGCAAGCCTTACCAGTGAGCAAATCGACTGGCTCGGGAACTCTCCTGATTTAAATCCAATCGAGAATCTCTGGTAAATCTGCAAGGAACGACTTCGTGGGATGGACATACGAAGAATTAACATGCGCACTGGATCATCAACCATTATAAGTTTGAAATAGATGTAGCGTAAATTTATGAAAC